GCATGTCATTGCTGTATTTGATCAAAGTGTTGATTAACGCATCATCCAAACAATTTGAATTATGTTTGTATTGTTTTCTTTATTAAGTCATGAGTATAAATAAGATATTACTTTTTCGTCGAAATATTTACAACCCTAATCAGCGATGGATTGCCCCAACCTGATGTTTGCGTTTGTATATACGACGACGAATGCCATGGTTTTTCTGCTCTTCTTCGAAGTAATGCGCTTTGTTGTCCCCCTAGTAAATTCTCTTTCTTATTCTTGCTTTACATATTTTTTATCATTTTCGATCATACTTGGAAGTAATTTATTATTTATATGTCCGGAACGAATATATTCATGAATACTTGATCAGCCGTCTTATATAGGCCAAGGAAAAATGTTTGATCTTTTTATTTGAATAAGAATATTTTTTGGAGAGAGCAATTTAAAAAAAAAAGTCTAACAAAACGATTCATTGGATTATAACTTGATAGCTCTATATAGTAAGCGAAAAACATTAAATAAATAAGATTTGGCTTTATGACTAAATCTGATTGAAATACAGATGACGTGTTCACTTAGACTGGTTCCCCGTCCTTTATCTGTTTGGCTCTGACAGATATAACAAGGGTGTCTCAGATACCCGTATGTTGCAAGGGAGGGAACCAGCCTAAGTGTACACCCGGATTCTGCATTGCTTTACCTCTGTGGAAATAAGTTATTGAAAATGAGATCGTTTTTTTTTAATTTCAGATCCCTTTGGTTTCAGTTCAAAACCCAATGGTAAGTATTGAATATTCTAGTATTCAACGGCGATGGAGAATACTTTTAAGTTCGAGGTCAGGAATTTTTTACACAAGCAAAAAAGAGAGAAAGTAGTTACTAGTATCGCAATATCTATATTTTTCATCTTTTTTACCCTATGTAAAATTTAAAAAATATACCTAGCCCCCAATGAGGGTCTGGATGGGGTTTACAGAATAGTGACGAATGGGCAAAAAGTGCAGAATAAGAGCCTGCAAAAAAAAAGAATAGAGAAAAATGGAAGAAAAAAAGAGAAGAGAATAATGGGGTGCTAATTTTTTTTAAAAATATAGAACATGAGCATAATAGATAAAGATGAGAGAAAAAATAGAATAAAAAATAAAGAATAAAGATATGAATGGCCCCCGATCCAGGCCCTCCCTATGTACCGTTTTACATCTCGTAATTTTATCGGCCTTTCAATTGATAAAATGAATTATTAATATTGGCGCCAGTAATTCTAATTTTGACAAAATATATCTACATTCACGTGTTTTCTATTGCTGTGACCTTTTTTGTTGTGCTGATCAGCATCAGTAGCAACTAGTCTTGTGAGACAGAAGTCACAGACCTAGAAGTATTGCAATCAACCATCTTCGCAAACAAAGGGGTGTGAAAAAAATACAAGAAAATTATAAACGGTGTAAATTTTTTCCTGTTGTAACGTGCTACAAGATGGAAATGATATACTTCTAGTTTGAAGTAGATATTTATGGGTTTCTCAAATTTTTGCAAAAGTGCGTTCAATAAAAACAAATTTGTTATGAATAATTTCAATTTTCTTATAAAGAGGTGACCCAGTTTTTTCGGACCTTTCTACTTTAATGAATTTTTCAATTTTACAGATTGTACAGCAATAAGTTGTGAAAGTTGGGGTTGGAAGTACCAGGAGTGTCCGGTTGATAACTTGGGAGCTGGTCGTGTGGTTTCCATGACAATACGCAGTCAAAGGTATTATTGCAACTTCGGATTGGACAAGGTTTACTATGGATGGAAAAGGAATAAGATATTTGTAAATAACGGATGTAGAGCTACATTTGACGTCTGCTACACTGTTTTTTAAAATGTCGTCTGCCTTATAATGAGTAACTAATTAAAGAATCGGAGCAGCGTAAAATATTCAACGAGTGACCGAACAACACTTCATGTCATGATATTTGATTTTTTCAACAATTATTGTTTTTATTACAATAAATGTAAATAAGGAAGAAAATGCAATGAATTATTTTTTTCCATCCGTTCTCATTTTATTGGCAACGCCATGTCAACATATATTACATCATCAGAGGAGTAAAAATTCAGATTTAGGCTTTATTTCACATGTGAAATGTTGCTCAAACTCAAAAATTTTGAAAGCCAAGGATGTGTTACTTCTTGAATACGAGAGTAGCTTATGAGGGGCTGGATTGGGGGTTTACAGAATGGGCGAAAAAAAATAAAGAGTAAAGAAAAATAGACCCCAAAAAATAAAGAATAGAGAATAATGGACAAAATATATGAAGAATAGAGAAATAATGGCCTAAAAAAATAAAGAATACAGAAATGAACCCCCCCCCCCTTTCCACCCCCAATCTAGATCCTCGCTTATAACCAAAAAGGATCTAAAAAGAATAACCATTTCATCCAAGGTCATCATTTCCTTGGAAAATTACGGTACCATAGGTCTTCAATAATATCAAAATTTATAAGATGCGAATTTAAGGGAGAAAAAAGAGGCGAAAGACCCCAAAGGCAGAATAAAAACTCACAGGTCGTTAATAGATTGACAAAATTTTGACAAAAAAAAAAAGAAAAACTAAGAAAAGACAAACAACCGTCTACGAAACACTTATTACAAAACTATAAACTCAGCAACACGGACACACCCAAAAAAAAGGGGATGATCTCAATAGCTTCCAAAGGGTTAGCACATCCTGCTCCATATGTGACACCCATCGTGTTAATCCTATATAATATGTTGATAAGTTATATAAAGTCATTAAGCATCACGTAATAACAGATTGATAATTGTCTCATATCACATCACCAAATTTGTTAACCATCGGTCATGTACATTCACTAACCTTAAAACTTGACCGACTGAATATCTTTGAAATTGAACTCTTTTTGCAAGATAAAGGATATACAAGACTGTTAACGGTAAAAGCAACACTGACATTGCAAAATTAAAAATCACAAATTACAACACTGGAAACTTAAGGAAGAGCAATACGAAACCCTTTTAAACAAAACTAGAGATGATCCGGATGCCCCGGAAGGGTAAGCAGAGGTATGTTGTATATCATGTAAGTACAAAATCACTTACTACTGAGCTGGTGATACCCTTGGGGACTAGCAGTTCACCTGTTGTATCGACCCATGAAGATCTTAGATAGATTAAAACTTTAAAAAACAAAAATTATCAAAAAGACAATATCTACAAGTAGGCCAACATGACCGAAATCGTCAGTCGATTCCTTATTTCAGAAATTCCCCTTTAATTACAATTTTTACCAATTTTTACGTTATACCTATTATATTGAAAACTATAATAGATAGATAAAAACGGTAAAAACACAAATGATCATCGAGACAAGATCTACCAGAGTAAAATGGTTGAAATATCCAGTTGACTCCTTATTGGAGTTATTGCCCTTTATGATAATTTTTACCATTTTTTTGTATTTTTGCCTATTATCTTGAAAACTATGATAGATACAACGAAGTTTGAATGGCAAAAATGATCAGCAAGACAATATCCACAAGTAGGTCAACTTGGCATTAATCATCATTCGACTCCTTATAGGAGTAATTGTTCTTAAATGACAATTTTACTATTTTTTAGCTCACCTGACCTTAAGCACCAAGTGAGCTTTTCTCATCACTTGGCGTCCGTCATCGCCGTCCGTTAACTTTTACAAACAAAAATCTTCTCATTTGAAACTACTGGGCTAAATTTAACCAAACTTGGCCACAATCATCATTGAGGTATCTAGTTTAAAAAAAGTGTCCGCCGACTCCGCCTGCCAACTAACATGGCTGCCATGGCTAAAAACAAAACATAGGGGTTAAAATGCAAGACATGTTATCTTGAAAACCGCTATAGTTCGAAAAAAATCTGATAGTGGCAGAAATGTTCAAAATTATTAGGTCTACATATTGTCTATCAACATCAAAACTGTCAGACGATTTTTACCGTTTTTTGAATTTTGTCTTATAACCAACTTTTTGCATTTTCACCTTATATCCTTTAATATTAATAGATGGATAGTAAGCAAAAATAATCAGCAAGACAAGATCTACATACAAGTCAAATAGTCAAAATCGTCAGTCGACTCCTTATTGGAGTTATTGTTCTTTAATGACGATTTTTACACATGTTTATTGTTTTTGTTTATTATCATAAAAACTATAATATATAGACACTTTAAAAAGCAAAAGTAATCAACACGACAAGATCTTCAAATAATTCAACAAGGCCGAAATCGTCAGTTGACTCCTTATTGGAATTTTTGCCAATTATCTTGAAAACTAAATCACAAAAATGATCAGCAAGATAAGATCTACAAGTAACTCAAATTTGCCGAAATAATTAGTAGACACTTTTTAATAGTGATTGCCCTTAAATGACGATTTTTTTTACCTTTTTGTGTTTTGGACAGAGAGAAACTGTAAACAGAAAAAATGGTCAGCAATACAAGATCAACAAAAAAAGAGATTTTTGTCAAGAATTCTATTCTAGTCCAAAACTTATGTTGAAGAGTGTCCATTGTCACTATTGCACATTGACCTAGTTTAGCCTCCACTTGAATTATTCTCTATTCTTTATATTTTAGCACCCCATTATTCACTTTTCTTTATTTTTTTGGCATATTTTTTTTCTATTTTTTAATTTATTTACCCTTTATTCTGCACACTTTTCCTTTCATTCTCTTTTCTGTAAACCCCATCCAGACCCTCCAATATTACTTAGGTAAAGAAAGAAGAATCGGCAACATGGTCTAACGGAGTGAAAAACCAAGGAGAAAATTTAGAAAGAACCAATCACATTCAAGTATTTGTAGATATGCAAATCATATAAGATTTATACCTCATTGAACGTGCGTTTGATAAGAAATAACTTAAAGGTAAATACTGGATCCTCAGCAGTATAATTATACTAAAATTGAAAAAAAGAACGTTGGATTGCCAAGGGAATGGAACGATCATAAGAATATTGAATAACACAAAACTATTCCAGATAATCCTTTTATCAAAAATAAAAAAAAGGTTAGAATTTATCATACCATATTTTGTATACAAATTCATTCTGTCTGTCTATCTTTATAATTATAGTTTGTTATTATACAATTTTCGGGAACACAAATAGTCCATCAAAATAATAAGAACCTATATCGAATTTGTATTTAAAGGACATCCAAGATGAAAAGGATCTTGACGCATGATCAATTGCGCTTCATATAGTGGATATTTTTTACAAGCTTTGTTTTTGTAAGGGATATCTGTAAACTACAATGCATTGGCATTAATATCATTTGTAGAGATGTCAGTATAGGCGGATTGCGATAAATCGACCACTGAATTTACACTTGTCCGGTTTAAATGAATTTTTTCGACACTGTCGTCCAACTTACCGCTTCCAATTAGCAAATGTCCTTCATGGTCTATACACAGCGATAAAGGTGCTTTAATGTTTATTATGCTATCTATAAAATGTAGTCCGAGGAGTTCTCCTGTGGGATTCAAAACGTGTAATGCATTGTTACTTTGGTCCGAAAGTATAATATTATCACTTGGTGTAATGGCCATACCATGTGGAAAGAATGGTTGTAAATCTGGATTACCTTCGTACGCAAACTTCATACAACCATTCGTGTCAACGGCCACTATTCTTCCACTTAAATCGGTGTCCATCCAATCCGCTACGTACAATACATTTTTAGAATCTGTTTCGATACGAGCAGGATAACTGAACAGTTTTTTTCCTTTTGTGTCGGTTTCCAATGTCACTTTTTTCTTATTGTCTCTACTGAAAATGACGACTTGTCTGACTGAATCGTTTTGTACTGGAAAGATTGGTCCTTGTTCTTTTATTCCAACTATCAATTCATTGTCCTTGTTAACGTGCAAAGACAAGGGTCTCATTGGTGAGGTATCGATTACGGTAGGTATCTCCCCTGTATGAGACAACATACATATACTGTTATTGTCAACCATCTCATTGAACAGTATTTCGCCTTCTTTATTTATTGTAGTGTCGAATATTCGTTTCTTTAATGACAGTAATATTTTAATGGATGATTCCTTTAGCTCCCCCTTCACTAGAATGCTTTTCTCCTCTATCTTTTGATGGATAAAATAAACACAGCCGTCATCAGAACAAACTAAGGAATTGATGACCGGTATTGCAGTTGTGTATGAATTGAAAACTGAAGAAATGACCTCCGATGCAACCTCGCTTGGATTGTCCTTCACAATATCAAGATTGTCTTTCACAATATCGACAACAGTGGCAATTCCATGATGCTGTGAAGCTTTCAGTTTTTCATGGACCGTTTCTTTACAAGGTAAACACATAAACTTTTCACACACATCACATTTCCATTGAATTGCTTGTCCATCACAAAATTGACAAAGAATTTGAATTTTCAGAGCTTTTTCCATGTTAACAAAAAGTTTTATATTTGAGATTTATCAAAATGGATGATCATATCTTTTATTTCCTATTTGTTTAGATGATTCACGCTTTAAAATTAGTCAGACCGAAACAATATGATAAAGCTGTAGAGAGGAAAATCGTCAAAAGTGTGTTTATCCGGTAAACAATATTACTAAAATTGTTTTAGTCACATTCAAAGTGAATGTTGAATGTTTAACAATTAAAAAAAAGTTTTGTGTGACAGCAGAAAAGTTATTGTATTATTTTCCTGCATCCATTTGTTTTCGTCAGTCTATTTTATAAATAAAGGACACTAAGAGGGCAATTCAAAACCATAAGCCGACACCAAAGACGATATCCTGGCCACAAGAACAACGATAAACAGATTAATAGGTCCACAAAACACTACACAGAAACCTAAAGATTGGATAACACGATCCCTCTAAAACGAGGATGAATTCAGGTGTTACGAAAGGGTAAGGAGTTCCTGTTCCACCAGTGACTCATTTTTACTGTCACTTATTGACCAGAAACTAGTGTTGTTCAGTTAAGTCACGTTCTATATGTTTACTGATGATGTACCTCATAGTAATAAAGGTCAAATCTGCAGATTTATCTAGGATGGTTTTCGATTTCCCCTTGCAACAAACGGGTATACCATCATATAGTAAACAAGCTGTTGTTCACAATAAATTTCAGGGAAAAAGCCCTGGTAAAATGCATTTAGGAAACTGAAATAAAACTGATATTTGTGTTTAATGTATTAAAAAAAGTTTTTTTTTCGATAAATCAGTTGAGGTGTTTGAAGCTTCATCAGTTATATGTGAACAGTTGTGTTATCTGCTCTTTGGTCGGGTTGTTGTCTCTTTGACATATTCCCCATTTCCATTCTCATTTTTTGTTGTGGTCCATTTGTTTTTGTTATTGACTTCAAAACAAATACAAATGTAGTTAATACAGAAAACACGCATTTGTCTCAAGTCTGGCTTTTGTCTACTAGAAGTCGTTAGTTGATGTCTGCTTTAAGTGTTTTTCTTTAGATATCAACTCATATCAGGCAGTTAGTTTTTCTGTTGAACTGTTTCAATTTTTGCTATCCATTCGCCTTCAATATCTTCCTATGCGGTATGGGTTTATCTCAATACTAAGGCCTCATGGTAACCTGAATTTGTTTACGTCATCGTCTTTTCGTATTTTTTTTTAAATTTTGAAGAATCCACTACTGATAAACTCCCCTGGGTGTGTAAATCTCTTTACAAAGGAATTTAGTAGAACATATATAGGATTTCGGTATGTAGTTATGTATTTTTCTTTATTCCGCTAATCAAGATAGAATGGGAATAGTTGAATGACCCCACTGAAACTGTTTAACACTGCCACCTGTCCAGGTGAATGTCCAAAGTCAGGTATCTCTTCTATTTCTGTCCAAATTACGAAATCTTGTCTATGTCTATCGTTATTAGGTTTTTGTCCTTAGTGAATTTTGTTATTGCTAGCAAATCATTGATAGAACTTGTTCAGATGATTTCACAGCTACAAATATTGCAGAGACAATTGTCAACGGTTCAAGACTAGGATGACCAGTAGATTCGTTTGTTGCTCGATTGCTGTTCATTGGTGTATCCGATACCTGTAAGTATATATGATGTATAAATTTGTATGTTATATGTTTTTATACAAATATAATTCAAATACTCTAGTCACCTTATTAGTCAGAATCAAAATATGAAATCGGTAAGAACCTACGACAGAATTATATATCACTGATTACACCTCTCTTTATATCATTTCACATATGGATTTAACATATTCTTTCATTGAATGTATTATCTAAGTCTCTGCTCCTTTACTATTGTCTGATCGGCACCAAAGTAACAACGCTGGGAATATACTTATAATATCTACAATTAATATTTTTATGACTATTTTCATGAGTTAATGTAGCTTCATTGTGGTTTGTTATAGATCTTGCGTGTTGTGGCTCTCACTTATCAGAAAACCGTTTTGGTTACGGTTCTTATAATATACATTTCGATCGACCCACCTAGGGTAACACCACTTGAAACAGCAAATGCATGATAAATAACCGAGTAATTCGCCTCAACCGTTCAAGGAACAATAGATTCGAGTTTATAATAATTATAATACTAACAATATACATTTTCGACAATTTATATTACAATGTTTCCCGATAAGAAGGGTTAAATCATTAGTCAATTTATAACAATTTTATAACAAAAAAATATCCAACATGTCCATGGAAACAGTTAAAATGCAATTTATGGCATTTCGCCAAATAAGACGTGTTCCGACAATGCCAATATTGTCATAAGATAGAATTCCTGATGTTGACATTGTTTCTGTAATATGTACCGATTTGACAGTCTTCAGGAGAATTTATCAAAATCTTAGTTTCAATAATTTGGTCCCAGCACTCGTCCCAATATAGATATTTTCTAAAAAGATAGCTGTGTGTTTTGGGGTTGCAGATTATTCGCTTTTTTGGATTCTCTAAACCCTCTAATACAACATTTTAACCGAAAGTGGATGAACGGATCGATGGAAGGACCCAAAGACTGGAAAAACATGATGCCCCTTTTCTATCATAGACGGGGCATAAAAAATCAAGGCAAAAAATAAAAAGGACACATTTCTTCGCTCACACATTCAAGTTTCCTTGTTAAGTGAACCGTGAAATCCGGATCATAACCCTTTTGATATATACATTAAACAGTTTACTTCATAATGAATATGTGTTCCAAATTTCAAGTTTAAGTGACCACAAACTACACAAAACCATAGCTTTAATCTACGTTAAACCAAAACGTTAGCCTTTCATATTTTCATGTTCAGTAAACCTTGAAATCTGGGTCAAACACTAGCTTGGCAAATACATTAAACACTTAATAATGAATGTGTACATAAAGTACCCCAAACCACCTTTGTTCCAAACTTTAACCTATCCCATTTCCTTGTTCAGTGAACCGTGAAAATTCTTATTTGCGGTACACAATTGTTCACTTCAAAATGAACATCTGTACGACGTTTCAATTTGATGTGACCACAAACTACCTTAAACTAAAACCTTAATCCGATACGGGACGGATGGACGCATAGACGGGAAGACCGAATGTTTTACCGGGGCAAAAAAGAATAAACATGTCAAAATTTCATGACTATGCTATGGGAAATAAATCTTTCGCAACAAATTAATATTATCTTTATCATTGGGTTAATTGCTTTTTTATTAACGTATACCCCGTATCTCTATTTACTCCTCTATATTCGACTCTTTTTCATCATCATCATCATCAAGTTAATTACACTATTGCTACTATCGATCGTTTGCCTGCTTTGCAATAATATTCCGTCTGGTTTTCTATTAGTTTCATGAATAGAAGGAAATTAATATTTTGATTCTTCATTTTTTACTTAATGTTTGTATAGTTTTTATAATGGAATTTTATGCGAATGTCACACAAGTGAGAGGTTTAACTAGCTATTAAACAAGGTTTAATCCACCATTTTCTACATAAGGAAATGCCTGTACCAAGTCAGGAATATGACAGTTGTTTTCCATTTGTTTCATGTGTTTGAGCTTCTGATTTTGCCATTTGTTAAGGAACTTTCCCTTTTGAATTTTCATTGTCGTTAGGTATTTTTGTAAAATTTACTTTTTTCATATGTTTTATTGGTTATTTTTGCATTAAATTCCCAAATACTAACAGCTCTGTTATTAGATGAATTAAGGTTAAAAAAACATCGCGAAAAAAGAAAATTTAAACGTAAAAAGCATGAACATATTCTCATACTTTTGATCGGGGTTAGTATGAAGATACAAATTATAGGGAAATATTGTTTGTATTTAATATTTTTTTAATTACATTTATGCGAGTGCAATTGATATCTTAGTCATGTTTTCATCAAATGTTATACTATGTTGGCAATATACATTTTTGCGTGACTGCTTTTTAAAAACCCACTTCCAAATAACAAGTACCCTTCACTGTCTACACACAACGAAACCGGTCGTTCAATGTTATATTATTTATCCAGAAAATGCAGACCCAGAAGGTCTCCTCTGGTATTCGAAACATGTAAAGTTTTATTTTTTTCGTCGGAAAGTATAATGTTATCACTCGGTGTAATAGCGATTCCACCCAGATAGAATGTTAGTAAATCTGTATTACTGCTGTATGTAAACTTCATACGGCCGTTTGTGTCTACTGCCACTATTCTGCCGCTATTATTGTTTTCCATCCAGTACGCTACGTACAATATATTTTTAGAGTCTGTTTTGACACGGGCTTAAGTTTAACAATAAGGTCAATATCTACGTTCTCTGTGTTCAAGTCCAATCCATGTTACCTACCATTGATGATAAGGTCTTTACCTAAGATACATTCGTTCATACTTATTGGCTTCAGTATAAAATTAAGATATCACTGTATAAATTTACGGCGTGCGAAAGACTTTTTTAATTATCATTTTACATTTCATTTATAAAATAAGTACCAAATAACATGTTTCGATGAGTCTTCTTTAGTTTGTAGCAAAATCTATTTCTTTACCAAAAATAACTAAATATAAATTAATTCTGAAATAATTTTCGACACACATAAATGCGGTAGTTGATTTTTTAATGTCTACTCACAGAAGTGTCAGGTCCTGTTTATTTTATCTTAATTTCATGCGTTCATCAAAGTTACACAAGTAAGTGAGTGTATATCGAATTTTAAGGTGGTACATAACACTACAGGGTGATAACTCTGTAAAAATCAGCTGAACGTTTTAATCAAGTTCTATTGTTAAGGAAATATAAAGCTTCTTAATGATCAAAATTAGTGATTGTCAAACTGCTATAATATAACCAATGACATTTTTCCGATAAAGTGTTTGGTTCAAGTTTTTTGAAATTTTTATATTTTTGTCAAACGGTCAAAGTAAATATTTTGTCAAAATTTTATGAAAATTAAACGAGCCAAATTAATTTTAGTCAAGGTGCTTGGTACCACCTTAAGCCCCCAAATAAAATGATTTTTTAGGATGCTACGAAAGGATAAGGAGTTCCTCATTTTAGCTGTACAGTCTTAACATTAATTAATCTATTGATCTAGCGGTGTTCAGTAAGGTTACGTTCTATATGTTAAGTGATGATAAACCTCACAGTAATAAAGGTCAAACCTGCAAACTTAACTAGAGGGGTTTTCGATTTATGTGTATGGGTTTGGCTCAATACTAAGGCCTCATAGTGACATGCATTTGCTTACATCATCGTCCTTTGGTAATTGTGTTTAATTTTGAAGAATCCACTTCTGATAAAGTCCCCTGGATGAGTACATCTCTTCGCCTTGGAGTTCAGTAGCACTCGGTTAGCAGAATGAAATTTTGTTAATCAATGTTTTTCTTGTTTTCCCCGTATTTTTTGTCTATTTGTATTACATTATTGATCTATTTAACGTTAGCATAAATATTTCTTTGTTTTCTAGCAATGTGCCGGGAAATTTGAATTTGTTTACCTGAATGAAACGATAGCCGAGTAAGGGTGTCGTTGATCGGAAATTCAATACATGCTTCTGATAGAATAATCATTTAGGAAGAGTGCCTTTGAAATATATATAGTCACATGGAAATATTTGTTATTATTTTTTATTTAAAGAATGGTAGGCTATTCAAAATGGCGACATAGATCCCTTCTTTAGGATTTTTCAGTATACGGATATAGATAGTAAATTGCACATTACTAGAAAACAAAGAAATATTGATGCCAACGTTAAATAAGTAAATAATGTAATACAAATAGACAGGAAATACGAAAACAAAAAAATTAAAAACATTGATTAGCCAATTTTCAATCTGCCAACCGAGTCCCTGTGTTCAGAAGAGCATATAGAAGATCCCGCTATGTAATTGTATAATTTTCGTTATTCCACTGATCAAGATAGCATGGGAATGGTCGAATGACCACAAAACTGTTTAACACCGACACGTGGATGTTCAAAGTCAGGATCCAAAAGAGTGTCTGTTCAAAGTCAAGTATATCGTCTGTGTCTGTCCCAAGTAAAACACATCGTTTGTGTCTGTCTCTAGTTAGGTCTTTACGGAATTTATTTATTTGGTTTTTGGTATTGCTAACAAATCTTTGATAGTTTTTGTTCAGAATTTTATAACTTGTTTTGCTGGAGCCTATTTACTGCTTCAAATATTTCACAGACAATAGTCCACCGTTGACACGATTGAGACTTTGATGACCTGTAGATCGGCATTTTGTTCTGAATATTGCCTGATAGTTTGTTCATTGGTGTATCCGAGGGGTGGCAAATTACCTCACCTTTTTTTGAAAGACCTTCTAATCCCTCAAAACACACTATCAAAGATAATAATTATATATATATATTAGACAATTTACATCATAATGAACACGTCTACAAAATTTCATGTTCATGGTGATGTGACCCAAAATAACCTCAAACCAATACTTTAACCTACTTTAAATCAAAACTTTATACTATACCATTTCCATATTCAGTGAACCGTGAAATCTGGGTAAAACCCGTAATTTGGCATAAAAATGCGTTCACTTCAAAATGAACATATGTAACAAGTTTCAAGTTGATGTGACCACAATCTACCTTAAACCAAACTTTCACCTGACATCGGAACGGACAGGTGTACAGACTGGAAAACATAATGCCCTCTACTTTCTTTGGCGAGCTATACCAATATAGAGCATGCAAATTTACGAAATAATAAAGAAAAACATTCGCAAATAAGACATATCATCTGTATCATCGGGTTTTTGCTTTTTCATTAACGCATATACCTAAGTGTTTCAAAACACAGGAGATCAGGTTCTTCATCATCATAAAACAATGTCCGTCCGTCCGTCTGTCCGTCAACACTTTGTACGATTACTGACATTTGCTTAATCAATTCTCATTCAATTTCAAAATAACATTAGGATTCACGAAAGAGAGCTCCCTTTGCAGTGTGAAATTTTTTGACTTTGTCGTTCCAAAGTTTATGGACTTTAACCGATAGATTGAAGGCACATTAACTTCAGTATGCCTAAATTGATTTCCTTAAAAATTTACGTAATTGTTGGGATTGAAAAAATCAAGCTCCCTTTTAATTTTTGGAATTTCTAGCTTGTCATTCCAGAGTTTCGGGACTGTAATTGTCAGATTTAAGAAAAAATTCATATGTTGTGCCATAATTTGAGTTTGCTTGAATGGATTTACTATAAACCTAACATAATTTGTGGCGATCATAACACCGTTTGATTTAAAAAAAAACACTATCTGATAAGTCATTTCACAGTTATGGGACTTTACTTTGACCGTCAGAAAAAAAAGCCATGCACCAGCTCTAGTATGCTTGAATCAATCTACTACAAACTATACACTGTTGTTAGGATTGGTGAATGAAGACTCTCATTTGATTTCGGAAATTTTCTGGTTTGTTATTCCAGAGTTATAGGACTTTCAAAAGTCGTATTTGACCAAAAATATAGACGCCTAAGGGTATCCTCATGCATGTTTTTCCACCGAGCCATTTATGCTTCTGATTAAATGCCTTCTAAATATCCCATTTTATTCTTGCAACAATTTCAAAATCCACAATGAGGGCGTATCATGCGCTCTTGGAGCAGCTGTTTATTCTTTTTTAAGTTTGCATAGTTTTATAGCATACGATACAGTCTAATAAATAATCTTTATGAAAACTATGGCAGTCATATAGATCCGCAGTTGAATGCTATTTAAAAATGTCTATTACTTTATAAATTTGTGTTTGAACCCCGAAAGCCACGTGCAATGTCATTCAATGAAGTATAATACTATTGAACAACTGTTAATTAACTTTTTGAAATTTTAAAGCTTTCTGTTTTTAAACTTGTTCTGGTGTTTTACCAAAGTAAAGGGTTTCCCTAACAGCCTTTATAACAGTACCTTCCATATGCCTTACCGCACATTTCTGTTTTAAACTCTCAAATAGTTCTCTGATATGCTGAATTAGGGTTAAAAAAAAGATCCCACATACCTACCAAACGTATAAACCAAAACACATACACATGTTTTCATACTTTCGATCGGAGTTAGTATGAAGATACAAATTAAATGGAATTTTTTTTTTGTATTTAATAATTTGATTTATTACATGTATGCGAGTGCTATTGGTATATGGCTCATGTTTACATGAAATGATCTACTATTTTGGCCTTATACATTTTTGCGTCACTGTCTTTTAAAAAGCCACTTCCAATTAATAAATACCCTTCACTGTCTATACACAACGAATTCGGTTGTTCAATGTTATATTCTTTATCCACAAATTGCAGACCTAGAATTTCTCCTATTGTATTCAAAACATGTAATGTGTTGTTTTTTCTGTCTGAAAGTATGATGTTATCACTTGGTGTAATGGCGATTTCGTGCGGAGTGAATGCTTTTAAATCTGGATTACCGATGTATGTAAACTTCAGACGGCCGTGTGTGTCTACTGCGACTATTCCGCCGATACTATTTTCCGCCATCCTGTCGGCTACGTACAATACATTTTTAGAGTCTGTTTTGATACGAGTGGGATAGTTAAACAGTTTTCTTCCTTTTGTGTCGGTTTCTAATACTTTTTTTTCTTTTATAGTCAGTGTAAAAAATTATGACTTGTCTGACGGAAAAATCTTTAACTGGAAAAGGTGGTCCTTGTTCCCTAAATCCAACAACTAATTCGTTGTCTTTATTAACGTGCATTGACAGGGGCATCATTGGAGACGTATCTAAAACGGTCTTTATGTCACCTGAGTGAGTTAACATGCAAATATCGTTATTAACAAACTCATTGAAAAGAATTCACCTTCTTTATTTACCGCAATGTCAAATATTCGTGTTTCTAAGATTTGTATTACTCTGATTGATGATTTTAGCATCTTGCCCTTCACCAATCGAGCTTTTTCCTTTTCGCTATTACAGGTAAAGTATATAAAGTCATCATCAGAGCACAATAAAGAATTAATTACAGGAACTGTGGTTGTGTATGTATTTAAAACTGAAAAAAATACCTCCGACGCAACCTCCCTCCGAAAAGGAGCGTCCTTACAAATATCGGAAACAGAGACGATTTCATGATCCTGAGCAGATTTTAGTCGCTGATGAATTTTCTCCTTACACGACGTACACATGAATACATCACATTCTTCACATTTCCATTGGATTGTTTCTTCATTACAAAAATGACAGGAAAGTGGCACTTGAGATTTTCTCAAACTGGCAGACTTCGACGCCATTTTTAAGTTTAAGAAGATTTATGGTTACGTGTTTTACTTCCTCGTTCATTTAAAATTATTTATAGTTGAACTGTAATCGGTCGAAATTCTAAACGTTAAAAGCATTCTTTTTATTCCATTGAAAATACATTGAGGATTCTTTATTTAAATTAAAACGTGAAGAATTTTTGATACATTAGAAAACAAAGTTAACTCTAATTCTGTCAATTTGAAGAATCTAGCAAATAACTTGTCAAGATGTTTTTCAATCTACAAAAATGATCTATGTATACTTTATAAAAATGCAAAAAACTCATTTTGACTCTGGTACCTCCATTAGCCTGAAAATCTCATGGCTGGTCACATATATGTTCCAGTATTTATATAATAAACTAATTAAAATGATCTGATTGAAAAAATTTATATAAATTAATTTTTCATTTCATATTATATTGTATAACGGCTAAACAAATGTTAATATTCTTCTACGAGATTTTAGATTGAAGCGACATTTCAGGATGAGAAGGGAGAATCACCCACATCAGCGCATAGACGATTAGATTAGTGTACATTTTTTGATAATTTATGTTTTTGTTGATTTTTTGAATAGAATTCATTGGGCTTTAATTTCAAATGGACAATTGACAATAAGGGCTTTATATATGCAAATGCTTTTGAGAGTTATATGGCGGTGTTTTTATTGTTATACATAATATAATATATAATATATCGCATAAAAAATTGTAATTGAGAGATACTTCGAACTTGCTAATACTTCTCATTAACATGTTCTTTTTTGTAAATTTACTGTTTATTAGAATATTGTCTCTCCCAACCATAGATTTCTTTAGACGTGTTTTGCACAACTTTTCAAAATGTTTGGTTTTAAATGATCTTCAACTTCGTGTTTTATTTAGCCTTTCAAATTAACAGGCCTGGTTTGTTTGGTGAGTTTTTGATACAAAATGTAAGAGCATGTGTTTTCCTTGATAAAGGGTTGATGCTTACAAGCACTTAACCCTAGTTTTTAATTTGGAGCTATCTCTTCGGAAGTTTACAGGGCCATCATGAATTGGTTGACCTTTTTGAAATATATGCATCACAGATGACCACGGATAAGTTCCAATTATCGTAGTATTCTCCCGTCTTTGTGTCCTCTAGCTACCGAATAAGACTTGATAACGAATTTGTGAACACCATGAACACCACGACGGGTTCAACATGTGGAGCAGAATATGTTTACTCCTGCAGAGCACCTGATATTTCCCCCGGTTTTATGTGGCGTTTGTGTTGCACAATCTTAAGTTGTTAATGTAATGTTCTGCTGACTTTTGTTTGTCTTTTATCGCTTTTCTCCATGATTTTATCGATCGTTCTTGGAGTTATTAGATTTGATTCTCCCTGTAGCATCTGTCGTCTCTTTCTAATTGGCTTCGATGTACAGTTAAGTCCACACTAGTGATCTCCCACTTATATTCATTAAATAAATCTATTACCACGGAGGTAACATTTAATCAATAAGTGAACATCCAAGCAGCATTCCTGTCGCAGCGATTTAAGTCTGGTGTAACGCTTCGCATTTTCACAAACTACTATGCTTTAATGTCATACTTGTAATAAGTTAACCGCTGATGACCAGGTAAAATAATGTTTATTCAGAATTTATAAGCATGACAATTTAAGATTTTATTAATGAGACTGATAAAAAGTTGTTCATATGCAGTGCGGTATTCAAATGTAAAGTGTATAGATTATGACACATCCACAAAAGTTTTATACCCTTAACAATGATTGATTGGTGGTTGCTTTACGTCTTCTGAGCACAAAAGGCTATATCGTGTCGATATAAACTTAAATAAAACCAGCAAGAATGATTTCTCAAAGGTTATGTTTTTTCTGCCCTTCTTCGAAATAATGCGTTTTGTTGTCCCCTTAGTAAGTTCTCTTTCTTATTCTTGCTTTACATATTTTTAATATTTTTCGATCATACTTCGAAGTAATTTATTAGTTATAAGTGCAGAACGAATTTGAATTTTTTTTTCTGTTGCAAATTGAGGCTAGTGTTTTTTTCCATTTCCTTTTCTATATTCATAAATACTTGATTAGCCGTCATCATAGGCCCAGGAAATTTTTTTTGATCTTTTTATTTGAAATAAGAATCTTTTCTGGAGCAAGCAATTTAAAAAAAAGTTTTGTTTGATAAAAACGATAAGTTGGATAATAATTTTATTGAGAAATTAAAAGGGTAAGTCAGTAAGAGAACAAAATATTTGGCTTTAAGACTTAACATGGTTGAAATACAGATACTATGTGTAAGCTAAGTGTACACACAGGTTCTTTAGTTCAATCATATTGCTTTATGGCCTCGTTTTGATCATTGGTCTCGTTTTCTAAGGTGGAAATAAGTAACTGAAAATAAGAACTTTTTTTGTTGTAGATCCCTTTGATTTCAGTTCAAAACCCAATGTTAAGTTTTTAATTTATTCAATGGCGTACGAGTACATTTTTTTAGTTAGAGACCAGGAACTTGTTTCACGAACAAACAAGAGGGAAAGAAATATTTCTATATATATCTATTTTTTTTCAATTTTAATAACCGATATTAAACTAGAAATATACATAGGCCCCTACGTAGCGTTTTACATATGGTCTTTTTATAGGCTATTCATTTGAGAAAATGAATTATTGATATTGGCGCCAGTTCAAGTTTTGACAACAGATTTATACATGCGCGTGTATTCTACTGCTGTGACCTGTATTGTTTGTCATTCTTAACCCTTCACTGGACAGCACACATTGGCATTTGTCAGATTTTACCCTCATATATCTTAACATATTATGTAGCAACAAAATTCGTATGGCTAATTTTTATATATTTAAAAATTTTGCAATTTTACAGGTTGTGCCGCAATAAGTTGTGAAAGTTGGTGTTGGAAGTACCAGGAGTGTCCGGTTGATAACTTGGGAGCTGGTCGAGTGGTTTCCATGACAATACGCAGTCAAAGGTATTACTTTCGGATTGCACAAGGTTTACTATGGATGGAAAAGGAATAAGATATTTGTAAATAACGGATGTAGAGCTACATTTGACGTCTGCTATACTGTTTTTTAAAATTTCGTCTGCTTTATAAAGACCAACTAATTAAAGAATTCAAGCAGCGGAAAATATTCAACGAGTGACCGAACAACACTTTATGTCATGATATCTGATTTTTTCAATAGTTATTGTTTTTATTACATTAAATGTAAATAAGGAAGAAAATACAATGAATTATTTTTTTCCATCCGTTCTCACGTTATTGGCAGGCCATGTCAACATCTATTACATGATCAGAGCAGTTAAAATTCAGACATGTGAAATATCGCTCAAACTCAAAATTTTGAAGTCAAGGATGTGTTACTACTTGTATTCGAGAGTCGCTTATGACCAAAAGGGATCTAAAAAGAAAAACCATTCCATCCAAGGTCATCTTTGCCTGGGAAAGTTGTGACCATAGGTCCTCAATCTATCAAAATTTATAAAATGCGAAGTTAAGGAGAAAAACAGGGAGAAGATACCAAAGGGAAAATAAAAACTTATAAGTCGAAAAGAGGCCGACAAAATCATGACAAAAACAAAAAACGATTAAAAGACTAACAGCATTTACAAAACACTACTGTTGATTCATTAATATTCGTTAGATACTAATTTTCGTGGATTACGTGGGTACAGAGGAACCACGAATTAAAATGTTCAACGAATTACAAATTGTCTAAAGGAACTTATGCAGACTTTGCCAAAACAACGAAATTAAATATCCACGAAAATGCAAATATTCCTCTATCCACGAAAGTTGGTACCCACGAAAATAAACTAATCCACAGTACTTTAAAAAATGTAAACTGAACAACACGAACCCCACCAACCTGATATATAGAACTAATTGTATTAATATAGAATTGGTCGTTTCAGAATCTATAGGACTATTTGTAATTTCATTGTTCGTACCCTAAAATTAAAATAACATCACGTCATTGGTTGAATTGCCATTTAACATGTCCAATTGGCTGTGAGATGACGGAATAATTACGGTTGACATAATTTGAAACCCGTTACTAGTGATTCCGACAATAGCAATAAGCGTGTTTTTGTAGATAATTTAATGTAGATTTACGACATAACAAGTTTCAGTAGGATAGACATCCGCAGAATCGGAATATAACGAAATGTTGCGACTGGGTGACATTTCTCAAATATGTGAGTTAGGGACCTTGTGCTATATCAAGTTATATAGATAAAAAATATTTCAGAGACAAGTGCCTGTGTCTTCGTTGTCAGTTGACGTTTACAAAAATCTTCTCTGAAATTATTGGGCTAAATTTTACTAAACTTGGCCAAAATCATCATTGGGATATTTAGTGTTCAAACAGTGTCCGATGACCCCGCCTGCCAACCAACATGTCTGCCGTGGCTAAAAATACAACATAGGTGTTTAAATGCAAGATATGTTATCTTGAAAACCGTTATAGATAGAAAACATCTGACAGTGGCAGAAATGTTCAAAATGTTAAGATCTAACTATTGTCTATCAACATCAAAACTGTCAGACGATTTTTACCATTTTTTTGCATTTTTGCCTAAGATCTTTTAAAATAACTATAATAGATAAAGAGTAACTTCATATAGCTAAGATGATCAGCAAGACAAGATCTACAATTGAGGTACATGGCTGTAATCATCCTACGACTCCTTATTGGAGGGTTCGCCCTTTAATGAAGAATTTTACCAACTTTTTGCGTTTTCGCCTTATATCTTAAAAATATCAATAGATAAATAGAAACTCAAATAAGCAAAACTGATCAGCAAGACAAGATCTATATACAAGTCAAATGGTCGAAGTCGTCAGTCGACTCCTTATTAGATTATTGCTCTTTAATGACGATTTTTACCCATTTTTAGTGTTTTTGTCTACTATCTTTAAAACTATAATAGATAGACACTTTAAAATGCAAAAATGATCAACAAGATAAGATCTTCAAATAAGTAAATAAGG